AATCTTATAAATGTAATAGAGAAGGCCAAAGCTTTTTATTAATGACATCTATCAAAATCAAGATGAAAGATAGCAAAATTTTGCTATAAAAGAAACACAATTTAAAAAAGATTGCATTCTACTTTCTATCCTTGTTTGTAGTTTCTATATAATTATTGCATTAAAAAAATAGAGAATCAATAGTCAACGGTTTCAATTCAAGATCTATCATTTTCTGACTTATCAGATAAGTCATTGCAATTATTACAACCTTCAATATGATGTAATAGAGATGAAGACCTTCAAAACAACATATTCTTCCTTAAATAGATGGTAAGATACAATGCATTTGATATCATGACCTAGAAAAAAATCTCTCAATATTTGGTGATTTTATTGGAGGTAGGCATAATTTTTGATGGTGTTATAAATATTTTGTTTGAACAAAGTTACGAAGGTTTCAACAATGATCAAATCACAAGGTGGCCTTTTGGCCTTGGAATGGAACATCATTAATGATTGAGAGGACCTATCAACTAACCTCAAAGAAAATAAAGATTAGAATATATAGCAAATATAATTTGCTGCATCTTAGACTTCTTCAACATATGATCACCACTCTTAATGGAAGTCATTCCTAGAAAGGGAGGTAACATCATAAATATGTATCTACTATAATTATTATTTAGATGATATGAATAAGTAGAAGTAGATAAAAGTAGATTAATTTCATATTATCTTCTAGAGAAGCTTCCTTGAAGTTCTCTAGATGCTCTTTTGACTTCATATATATATGTAGTTGATTTGTAGGTTAAAAACTTAGTCTACAACCTAACCATGTGCCACATGTATTGATAGCTTGCGGAACAAGCTAACTATGTGGCGTCTATATAAAAAACTTGCTTTACAAATCAAGATGCATATCATAGAAAGTTAATATGTTTTTGGAGGTTCTATAGAATATCACCACATAGATCTCAAGTAGATAGTATATATAGATGCAAGAGTGAAGCCTTCTTCACTCCTATTAATTCCTTTCTTGTTTCTAGTCTAATTTCAAAAGTCTCTAGTTTCCTTGTTTTTTGGCAATAGACATTTTAGTTTCTTTTTTATTATACATACTTCTCTATTTCTATTTTATTATACTTCTTTGAGAGAATTTTACTTCTTTATTTGCTTTCATCAAGTTCTTGCCTTTGACAATGATATATGAAGTCCTTAACCAAGTTTTTATTGGTTTATTCTTTGAATGAAGCCAATTCATTTTGTGATAAGCTATAAATTGGTCAAAATGGCAATTGAGTCTCTTCTTGAAGATTAATTGAGGAATCATAAAGACAATATTTTAGTACAATATATATATATATATATATATATATATATATATAAATAATATTTTATGATTTATAAAAAATAATTTATCTATCAAATAAATTGAGAGTCTTAATTTCAATAAAATAAAGACTTTATGATAACTAGATCTTTAAAAATATCTATTATCAAGCAAAAATAAGATTTTAAATAAATAATAGTATTTTTTTAAGATAATATTTTAAAATTAATTTCATATTTTCTACTATGGTTAGGCAAACTTATTTTTTAATAAAGTATCTTCTTTAATATGTATGTTCTTTAATTTATAGTTGTATTATTTTTTAGGACAATATTAAGAAGTATATTTAGATTTTTTTAAATATAATAATAATCTTTTTTTGAAGAAATTAGGATTTTTTTATTTAATAAGAAATTTATAGTATATTATATAAATTGAATTAGAATGAATGTATTAAAAAGATGTTGGTATAGAAAATATTTCCAAATTAGAATGGATGTATTAAAAAGATGTTGATATAGAAAATATTTCCAAATTAGAATGAATGTATTAAAAAGATGTTGGTATAGAAAATAAACTATATATGCATCATAGTGTACTTGTATAATTTTCAATCCTAAATTCAAAAAATTAATTGATATATTTTATAGTGAAATAAATTGCTTTATTTAATATTTAAAGATTAAAAAAGTTCAAGATTAATTTTTTAGTCTCATATTGCAATCTATAGAGAAACTTGATAAATACAACATCATTCTACTTGATTTTATTTGCTAATTATTGAAACTTTAAAGCATATAGTTGTCAAGAATATGAATCATTATAAAGGTCTAAAAAAAGAATGAATTCTTGTGACATTCTAAGAGAGAAGGTAGACAAATTAAAGATAGATATGAGGTAGAAACTATAATGGTTATTGCCAAATGTAAAGCAAATAGAGATTCTTGAAATTAAATAAGAATACAAAAAAGGTATTGACAAGAATGAAGAAGGTCTCATTCTTACCTCTAAAGATACTATTTAATTAAGAAGCTATGTGACAAAATTCTATAGGTCATCCAATATATATCTAACTTGTAAAACAACTCTTCAACATGTGGGCTACATGGCCAACTTGTATAAAAAGTGACTAATCTGTACAACATGTGCCTTACTTGTTGGCTAAGTTTTTGACCTATCAATCTCCTACAAACACTTAGAAAGTCAAATCTACAACTATAAAGCTTCTAAGAAGTTTCTCTGCAAAATATTACCAAATTAACTGAATTCTACTTACTTCTATTTAATTCTTTTTATTTTTATTAATATCAATGTCTCCGTGACAATAGGAATGTGTAACAATTTGTCTTGGCATAAGATGTAAATCTTATTAGTTGCAACATAAGTTGTATCATTCTTCTTATATATAGATCAATATTCTAGTAAGATATTTTTTAAATTATTTGATATTAAGTCACATTATTTAAAATAAATATATAATAAAAACTATGACAAGGCAAAATCCTTTGTTCTTTAATATTATTGATGATGCTTGTAGGAGGCACGACCATAAAAAAATTTATATATATATATATATATATTTAGACATTGAAGTAGTTTCAAAAATTCCAACATCTTTATTTCTAACCAATCTTAATGTTGGTTATTGTTGTAGAATGAATTGATGCATTACAAGCAATAATTCTTTTATTTGTTCTTGCATTTATATAGTACCTTTTATTTCTACAATTTGTTTTATAATTTCATAATAGGAAAAAATTCTTACACTACTTATGATAGAAAATAATAAATATATAAAATAAATTAATTTTTAAATAAATATTAATTTATAATTTAATAATCTATAATATTTGATATATTTACAACTTATTAAAAAAAAGATATTCTATTCAAAACCCATTAAAATAAAGCTCTATCATTGTAAGTATATTCTTACTAATCTATTAAAAAGAAAAATTAGAATAATTTAAATATAAATAACAAAAGATATTCATTAAAAAGAGATAATAAAAAATTAAAAAATAAAAAATAAAACAAAACAAAACCAAACAAAATAGTATGTATATTCAAGAAGAAAATAAAATGATTATTGATTAAGAAAATTTTGAAATTAAGCTAGAAGCAAGAAAGGCATTACTAAGAGTAAAAAAGACATTCTTACCTCCATATATACTATTTGACTAAGAAGCTATGTAGCAACATTGTATAAGCCATTTAACATGTATCAAATTTATAAGACACATGTCTAAGTTATATGACAAGTTTTCAATATGTATGCCACATTACTCACTTGTAATACAAATGGCTAATATGTGTGAAATGTGGCCAACTTTTTGGCAAAGTTTTCAACCAATTAAATACCTACAAAGACTTGTAAAGCCAAATTTGGGTCTATGAAGCTTCTAGAAAGTAATACAATAAGAAATTATTAATTTAATCTATTTTTACATACTTCTACTTAATTCTATTTTTTTCTTATTATCCAAGAAAATATATAAGTAAATATAAATGTTCATGAAATCATATTAGAGACTTTCAATTGACTTTATATTTTATTAAGAATCTCAATTTATATAAAAAATTTAAAATATTTTTTTAACATATTCAATATAGATATTAAATTATCTTTAATTTTTCATCCTTGAAAGAATAAACAAAAAAAATATGTAAACCAAGTAGTAGAAAAATATTTGCAATTCATTATCAATCTTCATTAAGATGATTTGACTTCTCTCTTGCTGTTAGCAAAATTTTCATATAATAATATGATACATCATTTTACTCAAAAACTTCTATATTTTCCAACTACGATTATTATCCATGAAGTACACTTTAAGTTTTTTCAAAGTTAAAAATCTAATAGTGGAAGATTTAACAAGTATAATAATAGCGCTTCACATAATAATAAAAATACAAGAAAATGAGAGTTAAAAAAAATAAAATAAAAAAATATAATTATAAATATTTTTAGAAAAAATAAAATAAAATAATTATATTCTAAGTTTGCCTTAAGGTATAATTACCATGTCATAACATCAAAACTATTTCACTTTGTAAGAAGCTAGTCTACCATAAGCTTGATTTGTTTATTATTCCAAAATAAATTAATTTAGTTGCATATTATTGGCAATTATCATAATGAATAAGGATGTGTTATGTATTCCATGCGTCTCTTGATGAGACTAATACTATAATCAACATACCAAAAAGAAAGCAAGTACTGAAGTTGTTACAACTGAGGTAACATTGCAAATTGTCATGAAAATGTGTGCTACATCTAAATGAATGGCACAAATTTAATGGATAATGTCACAATTCATAGTTAATGTAACCTTGTTTATCAATACCCATTTGGACTAATATAGTCTGGAACAGAGTGAATAAATAAGCTTAGCACATATTGTACTCAATATATTTATCACCTTCCCCACAAACATTCACATACCTTATGATACTGTTCAATAGCAGTTGAAGCATACCACAATGTTCATCAACTGTCCACTGTGCACACCAATCAAACGCATAAAGGAAAGAATGCCATACACATGCCTGAGTTGTTGTTTTCCTTATCACATTACTCTCACAATCCTTCTCATCGTAGTACAACCCGGCATTCACAACATTCACAAGCTTGCTACCATCACACCGCCACGACTCTCTCCACTCTCCCTCCTCGTGCATGCATGTGGGAAACAAGGACACTGTCACCGTTGAAAACATCCCGACAAGTTAAAATTACAAACCAAGCCATGCCCCGCCTATGCACATCGGATCTGGATCAGACTTTATCTATCTATCTACTCTATGTCTATGCGTCTGTGTCTACTGCTCCAGCTGGGCGTAGAAGATGCCCTCGATCTTCACCTCCTTCGGCGTCTTGGATCCCAAGTCGGTGTCTGATGGCTGGATGCTCTCGAACGTCCCCGCGATCTCGCCGGTCTCCGTGTTGCTCTTGGCGATGCTGAACGTGATGTTGCCGTTCAGCGCAGCCGTGTTCTTCTCGTTCTCCTTCGCCAGCTCCTCCTCGTCTCCGGCACCGCCCGCAGGCAGAGCCACGGCATTGTCGTACCCAGTGGATCCACCCCGTCCCTTGGGGTCCAAGAATGACGACCCTCTGTACGACGGCACCAGGAACGACCCCCCGAACTTCTCCGGCTTGCCCTCCGCCACAAGCTCCTTCACCGTGAACAGGAACGGCACCCTCTCGCCTCCCGGCAGCTGCACCGTCACCGCCGCGTAGTCGATCCCGTCCTTCTCCTCGAACCTCAGGTTCCCGTTGCTCACCGTCAGCGGTCCCTCGATCTCATCCAGCGTGTACGTGAGCCGGGTCATCAGCTTCGTATTTTGAAATCCCTCGCTACCGCCCTTGAACGGCGACTCCGCCTTCACCGTGAACGACGTCGGCTCCATGCACAGCTTCTTCATCGTGTACTTCCCGTCCTTGAACGAGAACTTGTCGGATCCCTCCGGCACGATCGGGCACTGGTTCGCGGTTCCTGACCCCTTCACGTCCATGTACGTCTGGGCGTTGATCTCGTCGAACGTCAGCCTCTGGGGCGTTCCCTCGGCGAGAGCGGCCTGCACGCCACAAAATTGCTCCCATCACTCAGTCCACCTGGGTAGTGCACGCTCGAGGCATGCGCCATGACCATCCCCTGGCGTCCGTCCGCAATCCTACCACACTCGAGGCTTTGGACGTTGTAATTACTTCTGAGAACACATTCACCACTACTAATGTGCCGTCCTGCATGACCCTTTCAGCGTTGCGCGGCAGCGACTACGCGCCACCCCACCACCCCGTACCGACCATCCGACCATGTCCCGGGAACGCTCCGACCCTCAAGCCGGTCCGATCTTCGCAAAATTCGCCAAGAGAACATACAACAAACGAAACTAGCAGGCATTGCAGATGCATCTTACCCCAGCGACGAGAGCCGACGAAGCCAAGACGAGAGCGGCGGCCTTGGCACCATCGACAACCCTCCTCACGGTCTCCTCCACGCTGCAGGAGACGCGGGAGGCGGCGGGCTTCAGACCGAAGGCGCTGTTAACTGGGGCATGCTTCAAGACCTGCACCTTGTCAAGCTTGGACGGGGGAGCCGAGGATGCCGACACCTTGCAGCCGACGGAGGCGATCGAGGAAGCCATAGCGGTGTTCCACTGGAAGGAAGAGATTCTACAACTAGTTCTACCTGACAAGACGATGCGCAGGCAGAGGCAGCCACAGTTGGAAAGGGTGCCCGAAGTAACAACAAATAAGCCAGGGATGGGTGGCGCGAGCCATGGCACTGCAGGTGTAGGATAAGGGTGGTGATTGGGCGATGGTAACACAGGGGATAAGGCGTCCAGTTGGAAGTCCGAAGCGTTTGAGATGGCATGCTCTTTGCATTGTCGTTTGTCCGTATCTGTGCTTCCAATTCCATTCGCCTCTTGGGGTAGATTTGGCTTTCGATATGTCATACTTCTCGATTGGGGATGGCATAACCAAACCCATGCATTGATGGCAATTGGGTGTTGAATAGTATCAATTCTAATTCAAACATGGAGATATTTTTTATATTCTGATAATACATCAAAATTCGGTGTTTGGACGTGGGCTTCGATAAATTACTTCGTTGCATCCCTCAAACTTAATTATGTGAAATTATATTAGAAAATTGCTTATATTCTATTTTCAGGTTGTTTAAAGCGTGAATTTCATGCATGCTTTTGAAATTAAATAGGTTGAGTACAATCGATAAATGCGGGTGCAGGTTTTCTTTTCCAGTCTGTTGAAGAGTATACCAGTGGGAACTGGTAGTGATCAGTGAGCTTAAATCAGTTGTCGCTGCTTCTGAATAAATCGCCGAAGAGAACTGTAACAGCAACAGATTCATACGTACTGATGCACTTAAGCAGCTGGTTTATGATTTACATGTAGTGACTCTCTATTCCTTTAGGATTCACATGATGCAATTGTCGAGAAAATCTCATATGTATTTACAATCAGAGTGGAGTCTTAATGGTGTGGGATGTTCTATTGCTGTATTTGATCGTGAAGAGTGTAAGCAATTGTCATAGATTTTTGTTTGTTTCATATTCAACTCTTGGTACTTAATATGTATCTTTTTGGTTGTCAAAAATTAGTACCTAAAAAGTAATGTTATATTAATGACTTCATATTTTCTATTGATATATTAATATTATGACATGATAATATATATGTATATATTATATGTATATATGTAATATATATATATATATATATATATATATATCATTTTATATCACAATTTTACTAACATTTGTATATCATAATATATGTTATGTAATTATCACATATTACAATATATTAACTTATAATATATAGTATTATTATAATATTTATATAGTAATTATATGTTTGGCATAATATAATATTATGTACAATAATATTTTATATTATACATTATTTAATATAATATAATATATATTGTGATTGTCATTTTACTTATTCTATAATTCCTTTCAGAATAAACCTGTATAAGGAAATTCGAACACATAGAAAGACTAAGTGCATCAGTTTTACTTATTAGGATCACATAATTAACCGTATTCCGAACCACTAAAACACCAAGAAACATTACAATGCTTTCTTCCAATAATAATACTCTTTCATCAACTAATAACAATAGTGTGCAACCTTGCACTCTCAAAAGACCGCTCAAAACACATAATTTCTATCCAACATCAGAAATAACAGACTTTACTCCAACCAATCCGAATTCACATAATTTCTATAATCACAGACTTCTTCTATCAAAATACATATAACTCTCAATAAACAACAATCATAATCTTCTAATAACTCCTCATATAATTTAATCACTCAGTGCTCCAATTACATAATCAATAACTCATAAATCAATCTTAGATTTATTCCACACACTCACTTCTCAGTATTCAGAAACTATCCATTACTTTTCAACAACAAAAAAACAAAGAGACAAAGAGGTAGCACCAAACTTACCCCGGCTCATGACTATCATAGTCTGGCCCTCAGACTAACTTCTACAACTCCTATATACTTACTCCATATTCCCAAATTCTAACAATAATCTTATAATTAACCACTTTTAATAACTAAGTTAACCATCCGTCCTCCTGAAGTAACTATTCTATGGACTATTAGTCTATTTTATTAATATCTTACAAAAACGAACTAATATCTATTCTACATAGCCTCACTCCTATCTGTACAGCGTCCTCGCAAACACACAATTATTACCTATCTAAAAACTACTTAACAAAATTCTACAAAATTACTATTTCCTCCGGCCCATCCAATTGATCATTTGCTACATTATCTAATGTGGTTTCCACTGATTTTAATTCTAAATTCAAATCTTCATCCTCCTCCAATCCGTTTATTGATTCCTTCTTCAACTGGTTTGAGAGATCTTCATTATACTCTTCCAATTCATGGACTTCAGCCTCTAGTTTCAAGATCTAGACATCACGGAGTTCCAATTGATGCTGTTGTTCACTTATCCATTCTAGAACATCTTCAATTGATGCTTGTGACCGACTCCTCACTATTAACTCTTCCGTTAATTTTACCACCTCAGCTTATAAAACTTTGATTTCGGACCTCAACTTCTCTGTTTCATATCTGAATTGGTCACTCAATGCCGCTTTCTCTTTCGTCAATAACTCTACCTTGTCTACTTCTGTTTGTAATTGGCATTTGAGTTTCTCCCATTCCAAATCTTATGTCTTGCGATTCTGGATTAATTTGTCCTGTTGTCCTTTTATAATCCGTAAGATGTGTTCTTTTTCTTTCGTTCAAGACTAATATTGGTGAACCAATTTCCACTCCAATTCTAGCTTGGATTCCCCAATTTCTTTTATAGTCTATTCTTGCTCTTCAATTCTTTGATTTTGCTTTGATATCACCTTCTTGTTGTCCTCTAAATCCCGTTTGTTATTGCCTTCTATATCCAATGCTCGCACCATACAATGTATTTGTGAAATGTGCTTCAATAAAGCATTCTTAAGAGGTATTCCTTCAGACAATTGACCCTGTAGAAACGCCAACTGATTAATATCCATTGAAATTGGGGTTTCATTCTCTTGTTCCACCGTAAAATAAATTCGAACCCATTCTGATTCAATAACTGGAATGACTCCTTATGCTACTATACGACTTGACTCCCCAATTTTGTGTATTAAATCCGCTGTATTGACATTTTGTGCCAATGGATTTCATTCTTTCTGGGGAGGCACTGGCACTAGAGTAAGACTTTCTTCTATTGGTGGTATTTGATGCAATGTGTGCACAATCATAGCATACACATAATTGGAATTAAGCAAATATGTGAACTTCCCCAATTTCCACTTAGTTCCTATCACCGCATGAATACAAGTAGCTACGTAAGCTGCCCACTTGAACACCATCCTTTTAAGTGCCCCTACCACTATATACAATAACCGTTTGGCCATATACATGGGATGTCGGTACAATCATAACCGCTTCACCACAAAACGGATCCATTCCACAAATTCTGGTGAAATTGCCTCAATAGTCCGCCAATCTTGGCTCCTCTCAAAGGCCAACATACCTCCCTTGAAATATCTTCTTGGACTGAAGTCGCTTGAGTCATCAATTTCTACTACAATCTCTAGAATGGGAAGAAACATTATCTTTTCCAGGATTGTTCCATCAATCCCGATAATTCGCTCTTGTACGACACTCGATCCATCCTCTGGGTCATAATTTGTGATATATTCTTCCATTAATGATACATTAATTGATGGTAAGTGATCTGACAAGTATAAAAACTGAAACAACTACGCATTTCAAAAGTCTTTTATTCTTCTTGGCGTCTAGTAGATATCCTCTTTGATTGTAGCTTGCTTTGCACTTTCAATTGCAATGATGCTCCTTCATTCAAACTCTTAACTAGAATTACTACTCTCGAATACACAAGAAACATAAGAAATGGCAATCTTAGAAAAAACAACCCAAAATGACACCACAGAATGACCTCTAGCTGGTGCCCCATTCCTATTCTCTTACTACCTAGTGATAATGATAACATGTTACTCATACTGTCCGTTTCTCACCTCCGTCCCATCTGATACATTAAAAATTACTAACTATCCTTTCAGCCCCCTCTACACACTAATGCACTTATACCATACCTAGGTCTATCTTGAGTCTAATCGAAGTCACCTCCCAAAAATAAAAATGAAAATATGTTCCGAGTTTTATGAATTAAATAACCGTAATCAATTCCCGTTAATGCAGATACTCAATCGATGGCCCATGAAATCCTCCAATTGAACAAACCCATTGAAAAAGCCTTCAATCATCTAATACGATCCATACCAATGAACTTGAAATTTGCTCAAAAAATGAGAAAACTGACTATCATACAGTAATACCAAATCATTGGGCATAAAAATCTTCGGACGTAGTTTACTATCATAGTAACTCTTCCTCCGTTTTTGAGTTACTTCCATGTTGAAAAGAGCTATAGCCCATATTTCATACAATTCTTCTAATTTTACCAATCGAGAGTGTAATGACTCGTTGTCATTGAGACATTTATCCAAGGCAATCCATAAACTTTGAACCTCCAACTCGATAGGTAAAATTGCCTCTTGGCCATAAATTAATTGGAATGGAGTAGTGTTGGTAGTTACTTTACATGCGGAATGATATGCCCACAAAGTCGCAAAGAGTTTGGTCTCCTAATCGATATCTACCTCCGTAATTGTCTTAGTCAAGACCTTGCACAAAATTCTATTGGTCTTTTTCATTTGCACATTTGCGCGAGGATGATATGGAATAGTTTTCCAATGCTTAATCTCATATATATTCGTCAAGGCGCCTATGGTAGCATTTATGAAATGGGTGCTGCAATCACTAACCAATTCTTTTGGACATCCAAATCGAGTTATAATATTCTCATAAAGAAAAGTAGCCACCGTACTGGCATTATCATGGCGGGTAGCAATAGCCTCTGCCCATTTGGTTACATAGTCTGTGGCGACTAAAATATACGATTTTTAGCCAAGTTTTGACGCTGGTACAATGGAATTGACAAAATCAATATCCCATTTTTCAAACAATGCATGTGCCAAGATTAGTACTAATGGCATGGCTGAAGTGCTCGTGGATCAACCTGTTCGTTGATAGGGATCACAACGACAAACAAATTGGTGTGCATCAAATAACATTGTGGACTACCAATATCCACCTATTAAAGCCCTGCGAGTAATGCTGTTTCCCGCAAAATGACCTTCACAACTATCCAAATGGCAATCTTCTAGTATCGACTTTACTTCACTTCAAAAGATACAGTGTCTTAAAATGCCATCTTTGCCTTGTTTATATAAAGCATTGCGAATCATCGTATATGGGGCACTCTTTAGAATGAATTGCTTTTTAAGCTTCTTGGTGAAAGTCGGCAAAAAAGTGTGGAAGGTCAAAAATTGAATGATTTCACTAT